TTCTAGTCCACCCTCAGCTACGAAAATTCATTTGGTGGTTTTGACCCATTCTCTCTCATCCCATCCTATTTCACATAATTGTTGGGGATGGGGAGGAATAAAGCCTTACTGTGCTTAAATATAAGCACATGCCAAATAAAAATATTAAATAGTAATGTATATAAAAAGAAAAAGTTGCAAAAAATATAGTTACAGAGAGCAAGAATGATTAAAATGAAATGAGGTAGAGAAAATGCAGCATAATTTTGATGGAAATGAAAAAGTTGTTTTGGAAGTGGCTTAAACAAGGACACTCCAGCAGAATGAATGAAATTAAACATAATAGTGGTGAAATAATTTGGGAGGAGACTGAAGTGAGAGAAGGCTAGAAGGAGTATTTTAGCAATTTGTATGGGAATGATAATGATATTGTGAAGAGTGGAACCAAAATACATACATACATTAGTGAAGAAAAAGAAGTAATTCACACTATGAGAGGCAGAAAAATGGTAAGAATGCAGGAGTAGATAGTCTAATTGGAGAAATGTTATAATGTGCATGTGGTTTGTTATGAAATGGCTGTGTGACTTGTTAAATGTATGTGAGAAAATACTCCTTGCTTGATGACTGGAAGAAAGTTGTTGTTTTTTTCCCTGTACAAAGGGGAAAGTAGCAAGAATAAATGCAAAAATTATAAGAGGCTGGTTTATTAAATATGCCTGGCATAATTGTGATTGAAAAGGTATAAGAGATAATGGTGAACAAAATTTGAAAAGTGCAGTGCATCTTTGTGGTATGTATGATGCAATGAGGATTTGAATGGATTTGACAGCAATGAATTTGATTGTATGATACAATGGATTTGAAAATTAATATATCAAATAGCATGATTTGATGGGGGAGATGGAGTGGATGGTTGCAAGTTATATATAAATGGTGAAAAACTAGAGTAAGTGGATGAATTTATACCCTAGTAGAATATTTAGTACAAATGGAAATGGAAGGAGAAATTTTAAGATGTTCAAATGCAGGTAGGATGTGGTCTCATTTGTTGAAAGCTGTAAAATGGTTGCATTTAATAGCATGTTTTTCCCCTCTTGAGAGTTGGATATGTCATGAGAAACATAAAAGGAAATACAATGTTATATGAATGAGTTATGTAAGAAGAGTGTGAGGTTAAAAAAAAAAGAAGAGAGAAGATCAAGAACAAATGCATCCTGAATGAGTATGGACTGAATACATAAGTGAGTGACCAGGACAAAAGAAATATGCTGATGTGATTTTGTTTTCAACTCCATGTTGAAGGCAGCAATCCTCCAAATACCAAAGGCACTGGAGCAATGGTGGGATAGGGGTATATCCCCATCTCCTTCTTGTGCTTGTGGTTGTCCACTATGAGAAACAAAGTACTAGACTAAGATAACAATAACAATAAGCAGGATGTTAATAAGCATATTATTCTATTTGGAAAGTTCCAGTTACCTGCACCTCCCCTCTCCTCTCCTCATCAAATATTTGAATTTTTGTCATACTTAGATTTACTTAAAGTAATGTTGGGTGAGGTGGGGGCTAAAGGAAGAAGGAATTCCCAAACCTAAGACACTCTCATATTTATTCTGCCTGATTCTCCATCCATATAGCACCTTTGACCATCTATCATGAATAATCAGAACCTATGATAGGATATAATCAGAATCTATGATGGGATACGTAGAAACAGACTGACTTTGTTTTGAATGGCACCCATTGAATCCATGTGTGGGACCATGGAAATATCAGAATGTCCCTTTTGCTTTGTCCATATCAGTGGTATGTGAGGGATGGAGTACAGAAATGGGTGGAAAACAGAAAGTATGGAGTGCCATACAGAAGTGTAGAGTAGCAGATACGTTGTAAGTAAAAATGTAAAAAGAGGCCAAAATTCTTTATTATATTTTACTAGCCAGGAGAATTGATAGGCCTGTGGATGCTTGTAGGGCATTTTTCATTCATATATGTAAATATGTTGACAGTAATATGGAAATAAATATGTTTTCCAGCAGATTTGCATTCTGTGATTCAATAGAATGGAGAGTGAGGAAATTAATATTCTCTCCCCCACAAAAGAGAGAGAGAAAGAAAGGAGACCCTATAGAAATGACAATGCAGGAATTGCTGTGTATCTGTGAAATTCAGGTACTGTACTGCTGGAAAATTTAGGTACTGTGAGAGAGGTTGACCAAGAAAAGAAAACAGAGTGAATATAATTACCGTGTCATAGAGAAAATGGAGCACAAAGAACTTAATTTCTTGATTGGTTATGCATAGCTTGAAAAAAATCTGGAACATAAACTATACTTAGATGTCATCATTTTTAATTAGAGAATCAAAAATAGCATTTAAAATAGAGTCTTAAACCATGGGTTAGCTTTTGAGCTTGACTCTAAGGTGACCTAAGAATGTACTTGACTTAGGGTCATTTATAGTAGATTCTTAAAATGATCTAAATTTCTTATTTGGCCATCCCTAAAACCCAGTAGTTCATATGCAATATATACCATCTGTAAGGCACCAAGATAAGAAAGAGCTCATGTGTTCTGTTGTGTCATATAATGGAACTTACTTTGAACTCAAGAGATGTTTAACAAGGGGAAAAGCTTTCTTCCTTAACATATGAGGCAAATTGATAATGATGCAATTGGGGAATTCTTGCCTGCAAGTTTGGGTGCCCAGCAAAATGGAGCAGAATTACAGACAGGAAAAGATCCTGAGGAGCAGCAAGCAAATCCTGAATTAATTTTAGAATTGAGCTAAGGCCCATATGCATACCTGGAGAAGAGGAAAGAATTGATGCACTGATTTAAGAACAGTTAAAAGATTCAGAAGAAAGAGTAGGTAAGATAATCAGGGCTGTGCAGTGATCTGGATTTGAATGGAAAGAGATTGTGTGTGAACATATATATCATACTAGTCAGCAACTCCGTAAAGAAGCTGTATCTTTTCCTGGGCTTGTACTGTATGATCCCTGGAAAAAATGTTGAAAGAGGCATTAACCAGTGCAACGCGCTCACTGACGTGCACTGTGAATCACCCTTTCACCATCAAATCCAATTTGCTTTACAGCCTTAGATTTGGTGGCTGTGAGTCTACACTCAAGGATGGAGGGGAACAAAGAGATCATTAGTCTGATCCTGTGGGATTAAAGGAATTAAAGCTTCTAAGTATGTCAGAAGCAGTGCAATCATCAAGACATAGTAATATGCAAAACAAAAAGCATTTAAAATGGTGCTTAGATGACAGCTGATCTGTCTTGAATGTGGGCATGTTTCCCAAGTGAATCATTTCCTCCTCCAAGATTCTGTATTGGCTAATTTATCTGTAGACCTTAGTTTGATAGTCATTGGGGACTTTCATATTGATTAGCAGTTCCAGGAGAACTGTTCCTCTGTTAATCAATAGAGAGAGTGATTGGACAACTGCTTAGTGGAGGGAGCACTTGGATTCTGCTTCCTCTGCAGTTATCTGGGGCATTCTTCTAATTCTTGGCAGCTTCTAAGCCTCTGCTGCTTCTGACTCTGCTGCCTTTTCTGGAATGAAATAGATTCAAGATATCAGAATAATGCCAACAAAAATATGAAGCATGACTATATATGTAGAGAGAGCCAGGAGGTCTGAGTTCCTTGGAAAAACTGTAGTATAATGATTATAGCAGCAAAGCAACCCTGTTGTGATGTTATTGACTTTTATGTATTACATTTCTGTTTTGTATTAAATATGCCAAACATTATTCTGAGTACTTAACAAGATGGTGGTGGTGGTGGTGGTGGTGCAGATTAAACATTTTGTAATCTATAGCTCTTTATGTGATTGCTATATGCTTTCAATAAATTAACAAGGTATCAGTTCATGGATAGGATATTGTTGGACACCCCATGCATGCTGCTTTGAGTACTTTTATAAAGAGAGATATCTTGCCCCCACACATTTTTCATACACGAGAAAAGCAAGGTGTGTGTATTGCAGATGGATGATGGATTTTTTAGCCCGTTTTACAAGCACAAGACACATCTACCTCTTCTGTTCTAGTTTATTGGGATAAACGTGAGTGTCGTTGTAGAGTAAGTGCTTTCTGGTATTTCCAACAGAATAAAGGGTAGGCAGAGCAGGTCGCTACAGCTCAGTTCAGCCCTAGCCAGTGATGGGAGAATAAAATGTGACTGTGAAGATCAGCCTTTGATGCACAAAGCACCACTGAGCTCCCCGTGTTCCAAGTGATGCAAAGTAGCTCCGGCGGGCTCTGCCAAAGCGGCTCTGCTGCATCACATTAGGAGCACTGGAACACAGGATGATGTTCAGAAGGAGTAAAGCCATTGTATCACAGCAGTAGGGCCTATTAGAAATGAAGCAATCCCACTGGGGCATTTTATTTGCACACTCCAGTAGAGTGGACGCCAAAGGCTTTGCTAATGCTTCATGGGCTGCTAATTTCCTCTCTGACCCCTTTTGTGGAGGGGTGACCCCAGCCAGAATCCTTCTGCAATGAATGCCAAAGCCTGACACAGGTCTGGGTTAGGGGTGACAAAGAGGCCTCTGTGGGCTTTAATCAGGCTCCAGTTTGCCGTTTAAGAACTGGGGAGAAGGGGGGAGAGTTGTGGCTCTCTAAAGATCTGGGTGGTACAATAAGGGAGGCCCAGGGTCTCCCATGGAGGCAGCTGAGTTGCAGCAGGCAGCAGAAGACGGGCTAAAAAATCCATCAGACAAGGAGGGGAGGAGGAGAAAGGAGAGGCGGGTCGCTTCTTTTGTGAAAGGCTTTCTTTGGAATATAGAAGGTTTTTCAGTGAATGCCCCCATTAGATGACCCAATCAGGTCCTGGCAGATGGATCTCCCAGGCACGCTGCTTATTCATAGCAGGCTAAGTTTCTACTACTCTCTCACTTCCCTTTCCCCTTGCTCCCTTCTTCCCACAGGCTTTCATTCATATTAAGAATAACTTTATATATGTGTTTTTTTCCCTTTCTCTTCCTGTTCATCTCCCCCAAAGATTGTGAATCCTACTGCAAGGCATCCAAAGGGAAGCTGAAGATAAACATGAAGAAGTATTGCAAGAAAGACTATGGTGAGCTCCTCTCTCCACCCCAAGGTCACCCTGGAAATGCTTGGTGTCTGTCTGTCTGTCTGTCTGTGTCACAGAATGTTTTAAAGTGGCATTTCTTTTCTGAAACATGGTCAGTATAATCCCTGTTATATATGGTAAGTGGTGATTGGTCAAAAAAGTCTTCATACCTGTGTGTGCTGTGGTTTATATCTGAATCCACTAGAAAACATCTGCCAAAGATTGCAGATGGGCATAAATGGGTGGGTGGGTGGGAGGAAAGAGAATCAGTGAGAGGTGTAGCTAAGAATCTTCTGGATTTTACCCTGGAACAGCCACTTAACAAAAGCATACTCAGGTACCTGAAACACTGAGTAGGCATGGGAAAGTTACCATCTTGCGTCCTTGAATGATGGAAAAAACTCATAAACTGCAGCTAAAGAATTTCATTCACACATTTGAATGGGCAGCTTGTATGTACTAGGAGGTATGTGCCAAGACAGAGCCTTTAGGTTGTGTTCACACAGCATCTTTAACCTCCTTGTAAATTCATCAATTTTCTGGGTTGACAAAATATATTGAATGTAAACTGTCCAAGTGGGCTGGGTTGATACACCTGCTAAACCACAAGGCAAACAGGCAAGTGAAGCTTTTTTTTCAAGTTTAGTGCATTAAGGACATAAGCATATTGTATGGATACAGTCTTAGAGCGAGCCTGCTAAAATTAGAAAATTTCTCATCAGTGATGAAATAAAAGGAAACCCAGTGTTGGTAGAAGACTGCCAAGAGGGAAGAAATGCTAGGGAAGGCAAACACCAGAGCTATGCATTTAAGGTGCACTTGGGTGAGCTTGGGTGGTTTCTGTCACTGAACAAAAGTGAACAAGTAAAGAAGATGGGAATGACAGCTGAGGTTCCTGGGAAACAGGAAGACATGTTCCTGCCACATCCAATATTCTATTCCAAGTTTGTATGACATGGCTTTCTTTGTGGGCCCTCAGCATCAAAGCCAGGTTACCAGATCCAGTTGGTCGTACTGTATGGCTCTGTGAGGCCAACAACGACTACTTGATCCCTTTGATTTTATCAGTCAAGAAGGGATAAAATGAAGGAAAAAAGGATGTCAGAGCTTCAACAAGCAAAACAGTTGCAAACTATCACAAAGAAGTTGAATTAAAAATCTTTTAGAAGGGTTTTTCCATGTGAAATTAAGCGTGTGTGTGTGTGTTTAAGAATAAAAATATGACAGGGATTTATAACATGGCTTTTAATTTTTTTTGGAATATGTTAGGAAAGAATACAATAGTAATTCATAGTGCATTACACTACTTCTTTATCTCTTTCTTTCAAAAAGACATATCCTCTCCTTGGCTTTGTCATAAAGTGTAGCAGTGGCTTTTTTTCAACATCTGTAAAAGACTTATTCATGTTTTAGCTCTACATGTACAATTATCAAGCTGTGAGCATATGTATCTTTTTGTTGTTAATGTTACAACTTCATAGCTTCAGTTTCAGTCTGAAATTACTTAAAGCTCCATTCCTCCAAAACTATCACTCTGTTCTGGTTTTAAACAGCATGGGATCCAAAGACATAGGATCTTTAGCTGGAGCTATTAGACTGGATCTTACATAGAATCAAATCTGCTGAAATTAGTGGAATTTGTCAGGTGTAAATAACTCAAGTTCCATTTATTTTAATGATGCCACTCTTATGCATGACTAAAACTAGATCCAGTAATGTATGTTGTATTTCATAGGTTTGTAATGGGAGTGTTCATGAATAGAGAATAAGTTTAGTTGGAAATGCAGAACTAACCATCACATTCCCAAAGTTCTGCCAAACCATTTCAGGTAAATCATGATTTGGCAGAAACAAAATACAGAAAATTTTGGTTGTTCCAGGTTTTGGATGAAACAAATTCCAGGGGGATCCCAGAGTTATTTTACAGGGTAAGAGAGCCCTCTCTTCCTTCTCCCCTTCAAGCAGGTATCAACTTGCGTCCCTCCTTCAATCTTTCCAGCACTTTCACTATTCTTCTTCCCCTCTCTGCTACCACCAGTTGCCTTGGCTTTTTCATGTTCTTTCCCCCAAATCACTTTGCCCAGAATACTTGCAGTCTGTTCCATTCATGGTCCAAAATATGACATACACATATTTTAGTTCAGGCAAGGACATCGAAAAGTAGCTGTTCTCTTTAGCACATTCCTAGTTTGAGATAACCCACAGTATTTTCTGAATTTACTTAGTGAAGGAAATAATAGAAACAGGTGTCAGAAGCTGTGCCAGCTCAGGAACAAGAGATAACTTTCCTCTTATAAAACATCTATTTTCAAGAGTGAATAGTGTGGTACAGTGGTTAAGACACTGGATTAGGGACAGGAGGACCCAGTTCAGATTCATGCTTAATCATGAAAGATCACTGAAAATCTTTGGGCCAATCACTGTTTCTCAGACTAACCTGTCATCAGGCAACTGTTGTGGAAAAAACTGGAGGAGTGCTTGAGCTCTTGTAGGAAAGGTGCAACATAAATCTAACAAATAATTTATAAATAATAAATCTTAATCCTCTCTGACAGTGCAGAGTAAAGATCATTTTACTGAGATAACTTTCTTACATTATTTCTCATTCCTAGCATGTACTGGGGGGAGGAGGAGGGGGAGGTTTTTTTAGTTCTTTTGCTTTCATTCAGTTACATATACAGCTTATTTTTCAAAAAAGCTTGTGTTTAATTTTGTTTAAATTTTTAGAAAAAGCTGTGTCACCTGTACTGGTGATCAGAATTCTTTATCTCATCTTTTGATCTTAAACTCTATATGGTTACTGATAACTTCACCCCTCTAAGATTAGGAATGAGTTTCCCTTGTTTGCAGAATCCTTCTGTTCAAAACATTGCTTTTTTTTTTTTTTTAACAAAGGGTACCATTTAATTATGTTACATATAGGATTTACAGTTACATTTGTTCCTCTGTTTTAGCTTTCTACTGCTGAAGGTATTTATTTTGTTCCTCAAATTAAAGGAATGACTACTTAATAAAACATCAAACATTCAATATCTGTGTAACTTCTGGAGATTCCATAATCATCTTTCGAAAATTTTACAGAAAATTCCATTGGACAATGTGAGGTGTCGTTAGTATTCATAGATTATAAATCTCTGTGGAGTCTCTTGAATTAAAACTGATTCTATTTAACATTTGGAGTGTGCTTGGGGAGACGTCAATATGCTTGGGTGTTGCAAAAATAATAATTTGCATGAATAATTCAGAGCCTGGTTCAGAAATAAGAAACAATGTGAGGGAGGCAAGAAAGGAGTAATTTGGGGTGAGAGTATAGACAGAAAAAATATTTCAAGGTATGAAGCATAAGTAGCAGTACAAGGGAAGGCTGAAGCTGAGACAGGTAAAAGTAGAAAATGGAATGGAGAGTAGGGAGAACCTTGTCCCATTGAGTACTCCTATTGACTAGCACTAGGGGTAAAGGATGCTAAGTTTAGATGAAGCTTTTGGATCTAATGGAAGAGTTAACAAATTTATAAATGTTTGTGAATCTCAGTTCACTTTCTCATAGACATCCTCCTCAAGTTCTGCTATACTGCCTCATCATGGCTGGGAAGGAGGACTAAAGACTTCTGGGAGTGAATGTTAAAAAGTATGTACTCCCAGCAGGGGTCACCCAATGCATGAAGGTCATCGAGGCTTCCCAGCTACGCATGCAGGTACTTATATTGGTTAGCAGCGGCATAAGAAGAGGTGGCAGATGATCACTTCAGTGACAACAGTAAGGGCATCATTTCATATTACATGGGAGAAGGCAATGGTAAACCATTTCTGTATTTTATAAAAAAAAGAAAAGAATAGACAAGGTAAAGTCATTGGCAATACAGAGCCATATGATGAGTCCCTCAGTTTGAATGGCATTCCATATGCTACTGAGGAAAAGCTGAGAATCTTTCCAAGTACTAAAGGTGTTTATAGTCTAGTTATAGCTAGATTAAAGCCTTCAGGGCATTCCTTGCTGATGTTGCCATGCAGGAAAAGTATATCTGAAGCTGCAAAGACAGAATCACAGAGGGGTCATGGAATGTAAGAAGCATGACCATGGGAAAGCACAGCACAGTGGAAGATGAAATTAATCAACTACACATCAACATCTTAGGCACCATTGAATTGAAACTGACTGGAATCAGACAGTTTCAGTCAGAAGATCATATTGTTTACTACTCAGGACATGAAAAACAAAGAAGGAATGGTGTTGCTTTCATAGTCAGGATGGATATAGCAAAGACGGTACTTGACTGAATAATACCAATTAAGTTGATTAGGTTAATTACAGAAGTTTGACAAGTTTTATGGCCAAGTTCAATCTGAAATCAACAGAACATGTAGGCAAGATGTGCTGTATATGGTTGGAGAGTGGAATGTCAAAGTTGGAAATATTAAGGAGGAAAATGTAGTTGGACTGTATGGCCTAGGACACAGAAATGAAGCAGGAGAATGGCTTATCAGTTTCTGCCAATCCAATGATTTATTCATTGCTAATACATTCTTCAAACAACCAAAATGATGCCTATGTACATGGACCCTGTCAAATGGAGCACACAGAAATCAAATTTATTATATTATTGGTACAAGAAGGTGGATGAACTCAGTCATAAGAGCAAAGATGTGGCCAGGGGCTGACAGTTGAACAGACCATGAACTGCCCGTATGCAAGTTCCATATAAAGCTAAAGTGGAAGAACAAAGCCAACCATTTCCGTGATATCCGTGATCTTGGGTATGTACACATAATTTTCAAGGAAAATATCAGTAATTGCTTTGAGGTCCTGAACTTTATTAATAGGGCATCAGAGGAACTATAGAATGATATATAAAACATATACACAAGGCAAGAAGCCGCAATCCAGATAGACCATAGTGAAGGAGACTGGCTTCAAATTGGCAAGAGAGTGAGACAAGGCTGTACTCCCTCTTACTTATTCAACTTAGATATGGAATATGAATAAATACTGAGATTGGAAGAAG